GTTTTTAATAGTGAATGTAATGTTTTTAAATGTTTTAATGTGCATTAATTTTAATTTTTAATTTAAATGTTCATTTAAATTGTCTGTTGTTTTAGGGCATTGAATAGTTGCCTATATGTAAAGATGCCTTGAGTCCCCTTCTGGTTTGAGAAAGGTGGGGTATAAATAGGGAAATTATTTTTTTTTTTTTAAAAAAGGCAGTTAATCCAGTTCAAAGCAGATAACCTGGGATATAGGACAGTGTAGATCCAGCCTTAGATCAAAATGGGTTTTTGAGTTTATCCCACCTCTGGAAATTTATATATATTTCTACATCATTCCTGCACATTTCAAAAGTGATGTGGAATAGGAGCATAGTGTCTAGATCTAGGGAAGTAATGCTACCCCTCTATTCTGCTTTGGTTAGACCACACCTGGAATATTGTGTCCAATTCTGGGCACCACAATTCAAGAGAGATATTGACAAGCTGGAATGTGTCCAGAGAAGGGCGACTAAAATGATCAAGGGTCAAGCCCTATGAGGAGCGGCTTAAGGAGCTGGGCATGTTTAGCCTGAAGAAGAGAAGGCTGAGAGGAGATATGATAGCCATGTATAAATATGTGAGAGGAAGCCACAGGGAGGAGGGAGCAAGCTTGTTTTCTGCTGCCCTGGAGACTAGGATGCGGAACAATGGCTTCAAACTACAAGAAAGAAGATTCCATCTGAACATTAGGAAGAACTTCCTGTGTGAGAGCCATTCAGCCATGGAACTCTCTGTCCTGGAATGTGTTGGAGGCTCCTTTTTTGGAAACTTTTAAACATAGGCTGTATGGCCATCTGTCAGGGGTGATTTGAATGCAATATTCCTGCTTCTTGGCAGGGGGTTGGACTGGATGGCCCATGAGGTTTCTTCCAACTCTTTGATTCTATGATTCTATGATTCTATGATTATTCCTGCACATTTCAAAAGTGATGTGGAAGTACACATGGGTTTCCATTCCAATGGTCACATTTTTGTGTGTTCTTCCATTGACTAAAAGTGTTCAGCCTCAACATCTTTAAACTTGTATTGTCGAAGGCTTTCATAGCCGGAATCACTGGGTTGTTGTAGGTTTTTTCGGGCTATATGGCCATGTTCTAGAGGCATTCTCTCCTGACGTTTTGCCTGCATCTGTGGCAAGCATCCTCAGAGGTAGTGACCTCTGAGGATGCTTGCCATAGATGCAGGCGAAATGTCAGGAGAGAATGCCTCTAGACCATGGCCATATAGCCCGAAAAAACCTACAACAACCTACTGGATACATGTTTTCATGAGTGAATTCTTAATGATCCAAAGGTCACATAGGAAGCAGCCACTTCAGGTTGTTCCAAGAGTTACATTAAAGGAGTTTCCTTACAAAATAGTCCAGGTAGAGCGATAAAATGTATTCTTAAAAACCATTTCACATTCTATGAAAAAGGATGTCATGATGAATTTAAACACATTATAAAAGAGATTGTCAACAATGGAGAAGTTTTTACACTATCAGACTGTTTCTTGGGGAGGGGGAGGTTGTGCCAAAGAACTTGGTTTCTTGCACAAAAGGTGTGCATATTTCATTGCTATTGGGCTTTTTGTGCCAATCCCCCCTACGCAAGAATGATGAGAAAATGCACTCTTATAATCTCACCTAGTGTGAAGAAAACTTTTGGAAGACTTTGTTCTGATATCAAAGCAGAAAAGAAACAATGATTTCCATTCCAGCTCAAGAATTCTCCTGTTATTTTCAGTGTATGGGAACTTATTCTACAATGAATGAAACATGAGGAGACCTAATTCTTCATAACATGAAGCATTCTGTCAGAATACGAGGATCTTATCTTAAGTCTGTCTTTTATCATTGTTTGCCATGCAGAACACATTTTTGCTGGAAATATATGGTATCAATAGAATAAATAGGTAAGCAAATATGGTTCTTAATCTCTTCTTATTTCATTCCTTGACTGAATTTTCTTTCTCCCCTTTCTTTTCTTTGCCTTTTTTCACTTCATCTCTTGTTCATGTATCTTTTTTCTACTTTGGGCATTTTTACAGTAACTTCTGTGCAGTTCTGAGCCAGAGAAAGAAGATGGCATGTTTAACGTGTGTGAATTATCTGACTGTATTGTGGTAGATCAGAGCAAGTTGTCACAATGCATTGCAGTTAATTCCTACTTAGAGAACAATAAATAAATCATGACATTATAGGCCAAAGTGATATAGCATTGAGAATCCCAGTTAAAGTAACCATGACTTTTCACCACAGGAGTCTATGCACGCACATATTTTATAGATAACGTATTTTAGCTGATGCAATGCAGAATCAGAGGCATGGCTGTTCACAAATGACAGCCTTAACATTACAAATTAATTGGGATAATTTTTAGGTTTTTGTTTTATAATAATAATACTAAGAAACATAATAATAATAGCACTTCCACCTATTTCTCCAATTTTGTATTGGACAAACTGTGTTTATGTTAACTCTATGGGTTAACAGGTTTGAACTACAGCAAACTTCACTAGTAAAGCAAACTAAGGGCTTTATTGAAGGTAAAGTTTCCCTTTGACATTAAGTCCAGTTGTGTCTGACTCTGGGGGGTAATGCTCATCTCCATTTCTAAGCCGAAGAGCTGGTATTGTCCATAGTCATCTCTAAGGTCATGTAGCCACCATGACTGCATGGAGCACCATCACCTTCCCACCAGAGTGGTACCTATTGATCTACTCTCATTTGCATGGTTTCAAACTGCTAGGTTGGCAGAAGCTAGAGCTAATAGCAGGAGCTCACCCCACTCCCTGGATTCAAACCACTGACCTTTTGGTCAGCAAGTTCAGCAGTCCAGAAGTTTAACCCTCTGCACCACCGGTGACTCCATAAATACTTTATTATATGAAGCCATTTCACAGCTGTTGCATTATCATAGATGAGTATTGCACCTCTCTTAATTCCTGCAGTTGGGCCACTTTTCTCATCAGTGGTCACAAGATCATACCTTCACATATCCTCGTAACTCTGTCTTTCTGCACTTCTGCTGCTCTGTAATATATTCAGAGTAATTTTACAGTTCTATCAATGAATAACAAAAAGGAAAATATAACTATACATAGTTAAAAAACAGAAAACAGACAGCCCAGGAAATAACAAGGAAAAGAGGGGAAAGTGGGAGAGGAGGATAATCCCATACCTTTACATCACTTTACTGCTGGCAGTCCAGCACAGGTAAGTGATGTCAACACTGAAGGATTATAAGTTATTAATGGGCTTTACCCATCAATAGTAGGGGACAGGTTACTTGTGTGGAATGAAGGAAGACTGGCAATGGGATGTAAATAGTGTTTGTGATAGGGGCTGTCAGCAAATATAACGGTCCAGCTTCAATGCTAAAGTCCTGAAGGTTTACGCACATGAAGTGAAGTGATTGTACTGTTGTGTCAGAAGTCCCCAATAATGTAGAACTAGATGGCTAGAGCAAAACACAAGCAGGAGGTCAACCAAGAAGAGCAAAGTCAAGTACCTGAAGTTCTGAAATGTTGAAACAGGTAAATATATGTTAATGTATAAAGAAATTAGTTCCAGCTAAATGCCTGGCAGTGATCAATGAATTTCTGGAGAGCTAAGGCTGAGGCAGCAGGGGAGACTTTAAAGCACCCCAGGTCATAAACAGGAGTTCAAGTCAGAAATCAGGAATAGACAACCAGGAAGTTGTGAATGAGAGTTGAAGTTGCTCTGAACATCAGGTCAAAGCTGAAGGTCATTCAATAGTTCTCAGATGCCACTCTGGTCAATGTTTTTGGGATGTCCTCTGACTGAAGAGCCCTGGAATGCAGCCAAACACTGTGTCAGAGGAGAATTTCAGCTAACCTCTTTGGCCAGCAGTTTTTGGATGCAGGGTGAGTATAGGCAGTCTTCAAGTTATGAACAAAATGGGTTCTGTAGGTTTGTTCTTAAATCCAAATTGTTTCTAAGTCAGAACAGGTACATTTTAAAAGTGTAACTCTAGCTAAATATATACTCGGGCTGTTTTGGCAATATAATTTTATAGAGGATCTGCTTTTGACTTCTCATGTTGCTGACAGAGTATAACCTGCCAAGGGTCACTTAATGGGTTTCAATGGCTGAGTTTCCACGGCTTGAAACCTTGTTCTTCAGAGTCTTGGGACCTCTTCACACAGCCCTTTTGGGCCTTGCCGTTTTGTCAGCATTCACTGGTGAAAGGCAATTTGTGCAGGCCGACTCGTGGTGCCCCATGCACCTTCCCTTCTTTCCCCATCATATGGTGGGGACAGGAGAGGGTGTTTGTCCTTGTCCCCATCAGATGGAAGAAATAATGGCAACATGCATTGCCCCACCGCCCTATCCCCCATCAAAGGAATATCCATTGGAGCTACCCAAAATACACTTGCCTCCCTGTAGTGGTGGAGGAAGAGCCTTCTGGCATTTCCCCTCCACTTTGGGACGAATGTGGGCAGGGCCTGCCATGCATTGTGTGATGGCGCACAGCAGGCGCCATCAAAGTCATGAATAAAATTGGCAAAATGAGGCTGCTTTGTATCGTGTGAAGAGATCCTTGGTCCAAAACTGAAAAAACTACACCATATTGGCTCTTGGAGCATGCAAGAGTTCCAACGTGGGTTTTATTATTGATTCCATTTTTATTTTACTGAAAGTAATAACTTATGTCCATTTCATGCACATCCATAATTAAAACCACTTCTATTTTATATCCCTATCAATATTCATTGCTGTAAAATGGTTAAAGGGGTGAACAGTGGGGAGAAAGAGAGAGGGGGGGAGGGAGATATGAATTGATGGCTGAATAAAAGCAGAACTAGAAGGGTCCCTCACTTGTCTTATGCCCAGAGAAATAAATACAACAGACAAGTCTCTAGGTTGTACTTGCAAGCTTATTGTTTAAATTGCCCATTATCCTCAAATGCTCAGAAAACCAACTTGGTTTTCACTTTTTGCGTTTCTCGTAAGCTTAATTCTTGACTTACCTGGTACTTCTTTGAAAAGCTTCAAATCTCCGTTGGCTTTTTTCCTCTCCTAGCACATAACCGTAAAAATATAAGGCTCCAGAAGAGCGGATTATAGCCCAGGCCTTTAAAAATGTTTACAAGCGTCTTCTGTTATAGGGTAATCTCTCAAGGACATCCCATCATGCTGAGTTATGTTTGTAATTACGATGCTGAATTTTGGAGCCTCATGAAATCTGGCACAGACCTGACTGTATTGCATTGTGTCCAGCACAAAGATGCTGCTCTGTACCTCCACAATGGCATGAGACTGAATGTTCTCTACATGCTTTTGCATTATTGCCATTTAATTTTGTTTTTTAGTTTAATGTTTCCTTTTTAAACTGGCATGGCTGGAATTTTGCTGAAAGTATTTCTCCCTCTCTCTTGCTGTGTGCATGACTTCTTACTGTAATTAAGAGGCAGTTGTCTTAGCTCCTTCCCAGAACCAGTGGGGGCTGGTGGCTTCCATGACGGTGGGGCGGAATATCAATTCTGAGTCATAGGCCAAACTTTAAATGAATTGTTCAAGTTGAAGAATCTATTTTAGGAGCTGAGCTCAGGACCTAGACCACATTCAATGCTTCACTAATATGGAGGTCTTCAGTCACTATTATCCATTAGATTCCAAAGTCTGTATCAGGCTAATATAGTTTTATATTATCATTGAATAATAACTGAGGAAACATAAAATCACAGAGTTGGAAGAGACTGCAAGGGCCATCCAGTCCAACCCCTTGCCATGCATGAATGTACAATCAAAGCATTTCTAACAGATGGCCTCTGGAAACATTTCCAATGAAAGAGATTCCATCACACTCCAAGGCAGCAGATTCTAATGCCAAATAGCTCTTACTGTCAAGAAGCAATTCCTAATGTTTAGATGCAATCTCTTTTCCTTTCATTTGAATCCACTGCTCCATGTCCTAGGTTGTAGTTCCATTGACCCAAATATCCAGAGTACTGTGTCCCAGAGCTGCCCCAATGCAACATATGATAATTAATTGGGTTCTCTTTCCTCCTCCCTTTTGAAACCGGGGAAAACATTTGCCCTCCTCCAGTCTGCTGGGACTTCTCCTGCTTTCCAGGAATTCTCAGAGATGATTGTCAGTGGATCTGAGATTGCCTTTTCCAGTTTATCCTTCAAATACTCTTGGATGTTTGTCATCTAGCTATTTAGATAACCAGATATTGCTGGTTATCTAAAGAGGTAATATCCAGATATTACCTTTTTACCTATTCTATGCTGCATTTTTCCGATTGCATCATCTGTGGCATTTCCCCCACACTGAATACTACTTTTCTTTTGAAAAATGACCAAGTCAAATAAGGTGTTGATTAGTTCTACCTTTTCTGTCCCCTTCTACACTGCCCTATATCCCAGGATCTTCTTTAAACTGGATTATATGAGTATCCACTTCCAGATAATGTAAGATAAGAAGATAATCTGGGATCTGAACATCAGATATAGGGGCCATGTGGAAGGGGCCTGTGACTCCTGTTAGCTTTGTACCATTGTTTCCACTTTCTACCATTTCCTCGCTCTTCCTTTGCAAAAAGATAGGTCAAAAATGTTCTCCAGTTTCAACTTTTCTTTTCAAAATGGGTAGCAGGAGGTGAATTTTAATACAGAAATCCAAAGCCAAAAACAAAGGTTGCATTGTTCTTTATATACTGTAAATTCCAACTCAGTCATACTCTCACCAGTTAAAGGGCCATTGCTGTTGCCTCATCAAATTTGTACTGCCAGAATTGGAACCTTTTCAGAACAGGTCATCCCTTGTTTTCACCAAGACTGTCTGATAAATGCTTTCATTTTGTTGGCTAATAAACACTTAATGAGATAAATCATGTTATTAGTCCTGACTAGAGTACCACTATTAGGTTATTGGGATTTACCTATGTGTTGACTCACAATTTAACAATTCATTGAAAAATTTACACTAGTTGGGAATTTAACAATTTATTGAAAAATCTACACTAGTTGGGAATAACCATAACAAACAGAATGTTGGTCAATGTGTCTCATTTCCCTGCTATTTTTCCAACTGCACATTTATGTCTAACTGAGCAGAGAAAGAGAGAAAGAGTGTGCTGGCTGGAATTTATGGAAATGTGGTCCACAAAGAATCAGCAGAACAAAAAGACTGCTCCCATATAAACCAATACTCAAATTTGCAGTGTTATACAGAGACACATTTCAAATGTGCATTTACAATTTCCTATTTCTCAGTGTGATTCAAATGACTGATTTCATGTGAACACAGAAGCTATTTCATTTTTGCCCTGTTTTACCACTTTTATGTGTGGCAAGGATTGGACTGATGTGCACCATCACATGACACATGACAGACCTCACCCACATCCCTGCCAAAGGGGGGTGGGAGCACTGAAAGGCACTTCCTCCACTACTACAGGGAGGAAAATGTTGTTTGGGTAGCTCAGACAGAGCTACCCACACTTTCCTCCCCTTTTTTGCCATGTGATGGGGTAACATGCGTAGCCGACCTTTCTGCCATCTGATTGGGGGAGGGAAAGGGTGCCAACCCATCCTGTCCCATCCCCACCATGTGATGAGGGTGTGCGGGGTGCCATAAGCCATCCCTCACATTTTCCCTTTAGCGGTGCAATGTCACAGCCTAAAAGGGCCATGTGAAGAGGTACTTAGAAACCATAATACACATCACAGAGGCACCGCCCAAGCCGTACATCTTATGAAATCTCATGATCACTGAGGCTAGTCTTGCATTCTTCTAGATAAAGTTTTGGCAGCCATCCTGGTGTAAAAGGGAATCCAATTATTCAACAGAATAAGTCCCGATTTGTTTGGGATAAAATATCCCCTACAATGTGTCTTGTAGCATTAAAGCCTCCTTCACTCAGATCTGGTTGTCAGAAGGTCCCTTACAGTCATGGTACATATTACAAATGATGCTATTTTTCTTCGTTCTGATGCCAACTCCAGGTGAGTTACTTTTCTATTCTAGCCACAATTCCCTCCTGAGACTTTTCATCAATAAATAAAAGGACATACTGCTATCACAGCTGCTAGGTGTCTACCAAACCCCTCATTAGCTTGTAGTCTTGGAACAAGACAGAAAGAGGGAAAGCGCTGGCATGTGTGTATGTATGTGTGCATTTGTGCAGGGTACACAAGTGATAGCTATTGTTAAAGAAGTCTGCACACTGAAAATGTAAAATATGTTAGCATCCCACACAGAGAGAAAATTTATCTCTCCAAAAAGGAGGACAGAGAGAAAAGAAGGCATTAAGAGATCTGTGTGTAACAAATGATTCTAGCTACACGTTACTTAGGGGTATATAGATACATTGCAATGCCCAGACCCGAACAGATACAAAGATGAAAAGAGATATCTTGTGAATATTGTATACAGAAATGGTAATGGCTGAGCCAAAATACTCCCACAAAGCCCTCAAAAGCCTAAGTCTTCCATCTTCACTGCTACTTTATCCGGCTGAGAGACTTTGATTTTCCACAGTATTCCTCCCTATAACCAGAACCCCATTGTTGTCAGATCTCTTTCAAAGCACTAAGTGGAGCTTCATGTGAGGAAGGAGTTCAGGAATATGTAGAATAAAATGGCAAACAATTAAAAAGATTATTACTTTTTTAAACCAGGTGTCATCAAACCTTTTAAACAAAGGAATGGTTCATGGTCCCTTAGACTATTGGGGGGGGGGGGCAGGATATAGTTTTAAAAACATGAATGAAATCCTATGCACACTGCGCATATCTTATTTGTAGTACAAAAAAACCCCTGAAAGAACAATACTATGTTTAAAATGAAGAACAATTTTAACCAACATAAACTTACCAGTATTTCAGTGGGCAGTGTGGGCCTGCTTTTGGCTGATGAGATTGTCAAGTTAATTAAGATTGCTTTTGTGTGTTTTCAAGTCATTTCAGACTTAGGGCAACTCTACATCTAAAGTTTAGGGTGGAAGTGGGTAAATGCAGGGGCGGCTCAACCCATTACGCAAAGTAAGCATTTGCAGTATAGTTGATTTTGCCCAGGGGCGCTCTTGAGGTGCTCTTGGGGGAAAATAGACCTTGACATACGTGAGTTGTAGTTACTGGGAAGTATAGTTCACCTACAATCAAAGAGCATTCTGAACTCCACCAATGATAGAATTGAACCAAATATGGCACACAGAACTTCCATGACGAACAGAAAATATATATCAGTGATTGGTTGGGGTGGGGGGCACCAAAATACTGTTTGCTTACCATTGAAAATTACCTAGGGCTGCCTCTGGGTAAATGACCTTGGAGGGTTGCATCTGGCCCAAGGGCCTTAGAATCATGGAGTTGGAACAGACCTCCAGTTCAACCCCCTGCCATGAAGCAGGAAAATTGCATTCAAAGCACCTCGTTTGGAGACCCTTGGTTTGAACGAAAGTATTCCTTCCATAACCTCTTTTGAATTTAGCCACTAAACATGCCTCTGATAGGAAATCATCTGCTACTGCAGCAGAGCATCTTTTTTTAAAATCAACTTTAAAGATCCAATTTAACATTTTTCAAAAGGTAGAACATCCCTAGTTCATCTCACTATGTGAAAAAAACTGCAATGTGCTACCTAATAATAATGAGAGACCTTTATCTAATTCACAGTCATACTTTTGAGATAAGTGATTTGAAGGAAGAGCTATGACATGAAACTTCCTTTGCACTGAAATCAACAGAGTTGATGTAAAAGTAGCTAGGATTTCATCATATACCATATTAGAGTTAGTGATAGAGAGATTTTGGAAACTGGGAGAAGACACTCATAAGAATCCTAGGGAGATAGTAATGGCACATAATTAGTATCCTGTGA